CATCTTGGTGACCCAAGTTCAGAAACTAGAAGCAAATCACCAAGTAGGCTAATGAGAGACACAAACAGGATTAGTGCTTTCAATGCCAGTAAAAAAAATAGTGAGTAGTGTTCCAAACCATGAACAAATAGGATTACATGAACAGTCAACACCTGTGAAACCTGGTCAAAATACATATAGTGATGATGTGTTTATCAATACTGATAACAGTCAAATTGTAAACAATAACACTGATACAGAGAATTCACCAAATACAGAAGACAGTGGATTTACTTCATTATTACAGACTCCCCAGAATCAACAAAGTAAACACAAGTACACAAACGGATAATAAAGTGAAGATACACCAGTCTTGTGCAACAGAACTTAAGATGAAACATGTCGCAACTAAAACAGACAATATGGACAGAAAACATAGAGGCTGCAATGTAAATATTAAGAAACAGATGGACAACAAATCAACTGAGTGCAAAATTGATAAAGATACCAAAGAAACAAACACAGATTCTGATACGACATGCGATGTTGCAGCGCTAACAAACTTCAGTATGGCAACATGTGAAGGGAGGTATATGCGCTTCATTGATAAGATCGGAGAGGATTATATGTAATGTTGTTATGTCCATGACTACATAATGATGAATATGAACTTAATAATACGGAAATAAATGTAGGAACGTGAACATATATAACAAATTGTGCCAAGTACTATTGATTGATTTAAATGTTAATTGCACAAAATAGGTACATATTCACAAGAAATGATCCAGATGATGGGATGCAAATGATTCTTGTCAAAAATGGTTGAGTTAAGACTGTGAAAATTTTGAGAACTCTATCTATCTGGAATTCCAGTAGTTTTTGAGGAATAACATTATTTCACTTTCTAAGCTTGAAGTTTTAAGACTACTATCAAGAAAATCTCTATACATTTGATAATTCCTATGTAGAATATGTTATGTTAATATGTTATCTAGAAAGGAGAAATAAATATCTATATAAAAAAAAAAAGAAAAAAAAATCTTTGAACTCTGGGGTTAATCCTCCCTGGTGTAAAAGGGGCATATAACAGTATAATCCCCTGAATACACGTCTGACCATCGACAATGTGACAGTGACAAAATATACCGTAGTACACTTTTGATGTACGATGTCATTTCCGCCATTTTAGATCGCCATTTTCTAGAATGAGGAAGCGAGGTAAGAACTAGCATTGATTTGATCAATATTGTGTCAGTTCATCATCAGGTAGTTGTTGCATTCGATTTGTAATTAAGTTGCAAATATGCATATCTACTTCAAATGATTTTCAGCAACTTCAATATCTTGTTATAGATCTACCCAGTACGTCAGGGATCTCTAAATCTTGACTGAATTTCGCAAAATTCTCTCTAATTTTTGTTTTGCTATGCAAATAACAGCCAAACTACGACTAACACAACTTAAGATAAGTATACAAATATACATCCAGAGTTAATGCAAAACCGCTTTTTACTTTGGATGCTACTACGAAAAATAGATAATGTATGTTGTCAACTCGAATGTATGTTGTCACATTGGCCTTAACAGATCTCAATTCACAGTTAATTTTACAGTGAATGAAATGCTATAATGTACGTGTAATAGAAGGAACATATTTGATAATAAAGTAATAATACTAATAGGCATATCAGATATATTTACTGTAATATTTTGTCCGTTAATCCGTAAAATTGTCATTGATATGATTAAATTTCAATGTTAGTTTTTCTTAATTCTTCTTTTGTGTTCCATAACCTGGCTTTTGAACTTCTGCACTTTCCAGATATACAGAGTGTCCCAAAGTATGCCCCCCCCCTAGGCAGACATATGCCAATTTCTCCATAGTATGTGTCATATATCATTTTTAAGCTTATCCAAAGTTACATTGATTTGCCAAATATGATGGTTCAAATGGTAAAAAGTAACAGGCATTTCAAAAATTAGTGTTTTGCCAAAAAGTTCATTTCAGTATCCTGGAAACAGCCCTGACCTGAATTTGACAGAAAATATGGATGCTATTCTCGAAGATAGGATGGATATTGAGTTCTAAAAATATGACGTTTAGGGTAGATTCTCCAAGGAAACTCTTCTTATGCCTTAAAAAGGTATTATGAGGATTACAAAATGCCATATCCCTATTTGAAGCCTTTTTAAGGTCATATATGGAAAGTATTGCTGCTGTTAACATGGCGGCTAAGGAGACACACCGACTATTGTTTTGGTGTAAAACAGACTTTAATTTTGGTCAAACACTAACTTTTGAAATTCCTGTAACTTTTTCCATTTGTGAGTTGAACCATGATACTTGGCAAATTAATGTAACTTTGGATGCGCTTTAAAATGATATATGACACATACTATGAGGACACTATGTCTGCCTAGGGGCCCATACTTTCGGGACACCCTGTAGCATAAATTTTGAAAGTCATCTTGGATTAGCTAGTATAGATCTCTCCATGAACTCCTTAAGATTATTAAAATTCATCAAAGTGCAACTAAACATAACGTAACGTACCGAAGCAGAGTGGTCAAAGAGGTCGGAAGATAACACGCCATGGTCACATATGAATCACTATATTAACTATTTCATAAAATAAAATAGCATTCAACGAAAAAAATCACTTTTACCTGTTTATCTGTACTAGGGATACAGGAGCATGTTCGTTGAACATCACTTGTTACGCATAAAACCCTTAATGCATTTTGAAATTAAATCATTGCAATGTTTAATATTATAACTCATGAATTTCAATTACAGGGACAACATACACTGTGAGTTGACAACGTACATTTCTGATTTTTTAAATTATACCAAATGCATGAATATTTATTAAATCTTCAGGCGTCTTAAACTGTGTAGTTTAGAGAAACACATTCTCATAAAAATATTCCACACTCTGAGACGTCAGGGGAGAAAATTATCAAAGGAAATGTGTAAAAAACAACATTTTTCCAACCGAACAATTGTATGGGTAGACTTACAACGAAAAAAATCGAGCACTGCTCGAAGATCTTTTAACGTAATTAGAAAAATAAATGTCTTTGAAATCGAATACACGTGGAATCAAACCTGAAATTTATTTTTGAAAACCTGCATCAAACCTACATCATGGTCTTTGGTTAAGCTATGTTCACATCAACGGCGAATGCCACGCTTCAAAGCGGCGAACAAAGCGCCGTCATTTTTGTTCATACCAACGGCGCTTTGATGGCGCTTTAAAGCGGCTTGTAAAGTGGCACCAAAGCGTAACAAAGCTTGATTAAAGCGGCGGGGTCATAATAGGTCTTAGAAAAGCTCGGAGTAAAGCGGGATATTCGGCAAGAACGCCAAGATTTTTTAAACTATTTAAAAATTTTGGGCGCTCTGTTACGAATTGATTAAAGCGCCGAGAGCGTATCAAAGCTGAACAAACCATAACAAAGCTCAGAAAAGCTTGACCCAAAGCGTAGGAAAGCTTAACATAGCTCTGATAGGTTCCCCACGCTTTGACCAGGCTTTGTTACGCTTGAAATCACGCTTTGATAAGCTTTGATAAGCATTATTACGCTTTGATGCGATTATGACGCTTTAAATCAGGCTCTGATACGATTCCCAAGCTCTGTTGTGCATTGTTACGCATTGGAAAATGTCGAGATCGCCGATTTCATGCCGCTATTGATCCAATGACTATATAAAGATGCAGTAGATCCATAAAACCATTGCATCTTTGACTCGAGAACACGATTGCAGAACAACAAGATCCAGAAATTCCAGATGGACCAGAGCATGACCTATCTGAATAAGACATCATGTTTGACGCACGGCGTGAAAGAGCATGAGGGAGCATGAGGAAGCATGTCAGTCGTAGCAAAGCCTAACAAAGCGTTTCAATTCTTGATTAAAGCGTCTCAATTTGTTTGAAAGCTTGATAGTCCTTCATGAAAGCATAACAAAGAGTGTCAGATATTGATGAAAGCGTCTGACCTCGTGTCAGATCTTCATGCCAGATCGTAGCAAATCTTGAGACATCTTAACGAAGCGTGTAAAGTGGTTACAGACCGTGAAGAGACTGGGGTCCCCGCTTTGAACCAAGCTCTGTTAAGCTTTCCTACGCTTTGGGTCAAGCTTTGCTGAGCTTTGTTACGGTTTGTTAAGCTTTGATACGCTCTCGGCGCTTTAATCAATTCGCAACAGAGTGCTCAAAATTTTTAAACAGTTTAAAAATTTTGGGCGCTCTTGCCGAATATCCCGCTTTACTCCGAACTTGTCTATGACCTATTACCACTCGGACGCTTTAATCAAGCTTTGTTACGCTCTCGGCGCTTTAATCAATTCGCAACAGAGCGCTCAAAATTTTTGAACAGTTTAAAATTGTTTTAGCGCTCTTGTCGATTATCCCGCTTTACTCCGAGCTTTTCTACGACCCCGACGCTTTAATCAAGCTTTGTTACGCTTTGGTGCCGCTTTACAAGCCGCTTTAAAGCGCCATCAAAGCGCCATTGGTGTGAACGTAGCTTTAATAGTGACATCGTACATCAAAAGTGTACTACGATATATTTTGTCACTGTCACGTGACTGTACCTTGTCGATGGTTAGGCGTGGAATATATATTCAAACATAATGGAAATTAGAATGTGTGTATCCTGCCACCCCTGCAAAGTAATGGACTCGCCTACTTGGTCACTTGAAGTCACTTGCAAAATACATGTATATACATGTATAACCATTGACTTAAGGTTTCTTTGTATTTATTTTTCTTTGAGATAATGAATGGATCTAAAAGATATACCTGTCTTCATGTTCAAAAATAGTCATAATCGAAGCTATTACCATCTGAAATCGTTTGCGATAACCTACATATACCTGAACATTTTTAAGATGGCCGCTAATACAAATCAAAATATGTTTTGTTAGGTAGGATTTGCTATTTCATGGAGTTGATGTTTTTCTAGATTAATTATTACGACAATATTAATTGACAAAATACTTGTATTTTCAGTGCCTTAAATGTTCTTCAGTCCCAGTATACAGTATTATGTGAGAAGGTAGAAAAGCTATCAAGCACTAGTCCACCATCCTCTGCCCAAGTCTATAGAAGTAACTCAGATAGAAGACATAGAGAGAGAACAGGTAAGTTTCTCTGTGTTTACTCACTTGAAACTATAGTACTATTATAGCCACTAGTACATATCTAGAAAAATATTAATGATAACTGAAGATATACACTTGGGAATTATGTCGATTTGAACAACATGATGCATAAGCTGTTACATGTACCTACAGTTACATCATTTGAGAAATCGTATATAATATACATGTGTATGGTTTGAAAATAGCATTTGCCTCGTCGTATTCTTCTCATTCCTGGCTAGTGGCTTCGCTAATGAAGTACCATGTACATTTTACTCTACCAATCTCTTCAAGATTTATAGACATTTATCACTTTAAATATAGGCTACTTTATATTTGTTTTTATTAATTCTAATTAGGCAAAAATTATTTAAAATTCATCATGAACAACATAATCATAAAGCTCATTAAATGGAAATACCATAAAAGTCATGGGAAACATGATTTTTTCTGTTAAACTCTAGACAAAACATAGACTACTCAACTGTCTGATTATGATTACGACATATTCTTTATGTAAACAGGAAATTAAACCCAGAGAAAGGTTAGATGATTGCATTTTGACTGCTACCTCAAACTGTAGGATAATTCATCAATAGGGATTTCAGGATTTCCCAGGAGAGTTTTCAAAAATCTGATATCTTTTAGATCCTTATTTAAAGTTAACATTAAATGCCATTTTGATTCATTTTTTTTCGCTAAAAATTTTTGGGTCTCGAGTCAATGTTGCAAAGAAAAGGGCACTAGTGAAATTAGCATTATTATTATTACCCCTAATACTGACCAAATATAAGGAGAAGATCCATGAGAGAATCGGGATGTCTTGCCTTTCTCTACATAAATGTTGATAGAAAATGACACACCAATGTCATAACCTTAGGATCAACCAAATTTACGCTACCTGTCACATAAAACACCCTATGCAGACAGAGCCTGTGGGAAATATTGGGTGCGGAGCAAATGAGCGGAGGGTGCGGAGCTAACGGTTATTTTTGAATTTAAATATGGGATATTTCTGAAACTAAGCCGTTTTGGGACTTCAAATATACCAAGATATGTGTATTTGACACCAAATATCAATACAATTGTGAAAATAGTAGCGCAATTCATTCTATAGCGACGCAGTGTGCCTTAAACCTTTCCCAGACCTATATATTTTGAAATTATCCTTTTAATACTGAGTCCCCAGCATTCATAAAAAATGGTGTTCAAGGTGAACTATCTATACAAATTATTTTTGCATCTTGGAAGCCAGGCAGTATCTGTGTGATTTTATAAAAATTCGGAATTTTTTTCAGATATGAGCCCCCTCTAAATATTGGGTGCGGAGCTACGTTTATGGAGCTGCTCCGCTTCATATCTGAAGAACATTTCCGAATTTTTATAAAATCACACAGATACTGCCTGGCTTCCAAGATGCAAAAATAATTTGCATGGGTAGTGTATCTTGAACACCATTTTTTATGAATGCTGGGGACGCAGTATTAAAAGGATAGTCTCAAAATATATAGGTCTGGGAAATGTTTAAGGCATACTGCGTCGCTATAAAATGAATTGCACTACTATTTTCACAATTTTATTGATATTTGGTGTCAAATACACATATCTTGGTATATTTGAAGTCCCAAAACGGCTTAGTTTCAGAAATATCCCAATTTTAAATTCAAAAATGACCGTTAGCTCCGCACCCTCCGCTCATTTGCGCCGCACCCAATATTTCCCACAGGCTCTGTCTGCATAGGGTGTAAAACTAACGGTGGTTTGGGGAAGCTTAGCTACTAGACCTTGTGTCCCAGGGCCCCCTACCGAGACCTCTTACCATTAACATAGATTGCATGATATGTGCGTGTTTATACTGGTGATGTCTCAAGACATTGTCAAAGTCACCATTACCAAAAACCAAAGGATCGTTCTATTTTAATTTTGCGATGAGCAATTTAACATTTATGTTTTACATATCGTCACATCATCGATCAATCCTATTAACCCTCTTATCCAAGCAATTTTGCTATAATTTGAAGAGGTGTAGCCAGCCCATTTTGCCAGTGTACGCCCATTGAAAATCTGGAGTCTATTGCTTTTCCCAGTTTTCTTATTATTATTATTAGACTCCAGATTGAAAATCTGGAGTCTATTGCTTTTGCCAGTTTTCCTATTATTCTTTCTTTCTTTCCGAACACTTTTTCTCAGCAACTAGAAGGACTTACTTATTAAATCTGCTAACATAGTCAACTAGGTAATGAAACCTAGTTTCTGGGAAATTAGGTCAAATGTTTATCTAGGTCAAAGGTCAAGAACTAGGTCAAATCGTGGGTTTTCACTATTTTACAAGTTTTCTCAGTCGTCCTTCGGTATTTTTGCTCCGGATTTTTTCATCATGTTCCTTAGAAAAAAAACTAATTCCGTAAGGCAAATCGTTTTTTGATTACTCTTACCGATTTTGAGAAATGACGTCCGAAAAGTAGGTCAGAACATAAAAAGTTCTCCAAATTCAACGTGTGAATTGTCAAATAAGTGTAGAATTATCTCAGGAATCCGAATCGCCAAACAAAATTTCGATCCGATTTCTGGTTTAGAAGTTATGACATTTTGAAATCTCAAAATCGCTAAAGGAACTTATATACACCCTCCATTGGGATCTCCCCATGGGGAAAAAATAATTCATCTGATTTTTCAAAATGAGTATTCTGCTTCAATTATTACATTAATATGCACACTAGTATCTTGTTGACCTATATTCAGCACTGTATTGATGTATAGGCCACTTATTAGGGTCATAATTCAATCATGAAGTGTAGAGGCATAGATTCCAAACCAGGAAGTATTTTTGTGTCTGTCAAAATCCATATACATCCTACGCATCCCTGCATCTTATCCAAATATTTTACTACATAATGAAATATAATAGTATAATCTTTGGTTTTACAAACTTGTATGATATTTGATAAGTGTAAAAGTTGTTTTTGGAGCATTTTTCTATAGCCATTTTGTAGGGACAAAAATGATGAAAAAATGTACAATCTTTTAATTTTAAGTATGACCTGAATCGATTGCAAACTTCATATTTGCACATTTGATGAGATAAACCATTTGTGTCGTATTGTGAAATTATTAAGTTTGCAATCGATTCAGGTCATAGTGTATTTTGGGTATTTCTGTGATAATCAATTGAAACCAATGGCCTCCATTGGGATCTGCTGATATCCTCATGTTAAGTCACTTGTGCACAGCCCCATATAAGTCAATACAACCTTACTGAACGAAATGATCCCTATCTCAGCTTATGTGTGTCCGAGCACTTTAATATTTTCCAAAGTATTATATGACATTTTATTCTTCATGTTACACCTACGAATGATTCATTTTGACCATAGGGATATTTGCCAATAATTGCACCTTGTCCTTTGGTGCCCCATGTTAAGTCAATGGGGAAAAAGACTTCTTCGAAGTGTAAAATACGAGATATAGACTGAGTACAGCTTAACATAATGAAAGCCTATAAAAGAAGGGGACCTGGAAGGCTATCTAGCTTTAAAATTTGGACAGCAAAATGCCTAGGTCAAAATCTAGGTCAAATTTATAGTATTTTCTTATTTTTGCGATTCTGACACTACACTTAAATAATTTGCTTCAAAATTGTGTATACAGGTAGCAAAGAGTGTGCTAATAGTGATAGCCTTTTGCCGTCAGGAAGTATGTTGACCCACTTTTGAGATATGGTGTCCGAAATGTAGGTCAAAATGAAAAAATCTCCAAATTTAACATATGAGCTATGAAATAAGGGAAGAATTTTCTCAGGAATCCGAATCTGCAAACAAAATTTCGATCCGACTTCCCGGTCCGAAGTTATTGCATTTTGAAAGCTCAAAAATTGCTAAATTTGGTGCCCCATGTTATGTCAATAGGGAAAAAGTTTTTTTTGAAGTGTAAAATACCAGAAATAGACTGAGTACAGCTCAACATAATGAAAGCCTATAAAAGAAAGGGACCTCAAAGGCGACCTAGCTTTAAAATGTGGACAACAAAATGCAAAGGTCAAAATCTAGGTCAAATTCATAGTTTTGCTTATTTTTTGCCATTCTGACATTACACTTTAATAATTTGCTTCAAAATTTTGTATACAGGTAGCAAAGAGTGTGCTAATCGTGTAAGCCTTTTGCCGTCAGAAAGTATTTTGACCCACTTTTAAGATATGGTGTCCGAAATGTAGGTCAATATAAAAAGTTCTCCAAATTTAACTTATGCAGCGCTGCGGCAGCACATTGGAATTTATCATGCAAATTAGGCTGCCGCAGAGCTGCCGCAGCATGCAAATTAGGCTGCCGCAGCGCTGCCGCAGCGCTCCCGCAGCATGCAAATTAGGCTGCCGCAGCGCTGCCGCAGCATGCTGCGAGAAGGCTGCAGTTAACCGCAGCACTGTCGGAGCCATTTCACTCTGGGACTTGAGCTGCGGTTAACCGCAGCAATTGCAGAGAAGGCTACCATTGGCCTGAGGTATTTTAGGGGGAGGGGGATTGAAAACATCTCACCCAATATGATGGATGCCTATCTCTTCCATTATAGTTGCATCAATGGGAAAATATTGACAATAAATAGGTAAAACTCTATTAATTCTTAGCTAACAAACAACTAAAAAAATTATCACGCAAATTAGAGAGAATTACATTACTAAATACATAGGTGTTCATAATAAGGAATTGTTACCATTCAACGCTCATGTAGAATATTGACTGATCATAAAATGAAAATTACATTGTAACAACAAGGTAGTATTAGATGAGAATTATCAGAGTATTACCTATTTATTAGATTTATTTAAAACCTTTTTCTTGCATTACTCTTACCCATTATGCATTATTGTCTACAAAATTCATTTTCTACTATACGAACCCAAAACATCAAATAATATGCAAAATTGGGTAGGGACACACAAATTCGAAGTATATGTTATTCCCGTGAATATTCAAATCTGGCCATGCAAAGCGTACTAATTAAGGTAAAGTCCAAAGTTTTTTCAAAATTCTCTTGCAAAAACTACCGATTTTGTCAAAAATCTCCAATAAAAGTACCACTTTTTGCAGAATTTACCACAAAAACTATTGCTTTTATTAGAAAAAAATTTGAGATAATCTGCTTTTTAAAAAAGTACTGTTTTATTTCAAATTTACCATAAAAACTTCAGTTGTTTTAAAATTTACCTCAAAAACTCCCGATTTTTAAAAATCTACGGCGAAAACTACCAATTTTTTTAAAAACTACCAGATTTTGGAAAAATCTCCCATAAAAGTACCACAATTTTTGGAAATCTCACGCAAATTGTTCATTTTAGGTTGGCCCGAGACGTAAGACGATATAAGCAATTATTATGGGACATCACTGGTGATTTTACCCATTTAGAATTGTCCTGAAGGCCAGAAGGCTCCAGTTATTGAAGGACCCTCTATGCCTCCAGCAGTATTTATCTTCACAATCTTTATAAAATACCTTATATTTTTACTGCATGGTACAATCCTCATACACAACACATTTATGCTTGACCACTTTGACTGTATGAATAGAATTAAAATTTAGCCTTTATAAATTCACAAAGAAAATGAGATTTGCCCATCTAAACTGGAATAACACAGCAATACTTACATTTTATCTCTCACAAAATAGACATGCAGAATGTTCAAGTATGTCAGTAACTTCTGAATCTATATTTGATTGGTCATTTTCATACTATTAATATAAAATCATAAAATTACCCAAATCTCTTACAGTTGAACATTCTTTGTCAGCCATCTTTCTTTTGGTATAAAAAGAGCGGGAAAATACTGCAGCCCTGTCGGAGCCAGCTCCGAGAAGGCTGCAATTAACTGCAGCGCTGTCGGAGCCAATTCGCTGCTGCAGCCCTGTCGGAGCCAGCTCCGAGAAGGCTGCAATTAACTGCAGCGCTGTCGGAGCCAATTCGCTGCAAATATGATGCTGCCGCAGCATCATGCTGCCGCAGCGATTGGCTGCAATTACCTGCATCCAACATTTGGAGCCAATTTGCTGCGGCAGCGCTGCGGCAGCGCTGCAGCAGCGCTGCCGCAGCAATGTATTTCCGTAAGGGTAACTCTACATGTACAAAATGTCACAGATTTTGTGATCTAGCTAGCCTCTAACAAGTTTCTATTTTTAGTTTCAGTTTTGAACTACTGCTCTATATTATCCCTTAGCACAGAAATTCCCTGTTTTTACATGAAAGAAAAAATTGAATTCAATGAAAACTAAAAAGATCGAAATCGACAATTTTCGTCCGCCATATTGAATGTGAAGGTGACAGCAGTTACCTTCGCTTGACCTTTGAACCTCTGTACATTTACCAATAGCATGGACATATAGAACATTGTTAAGATCACATGTGCCACTGGAAGAAAGGTGGGGGGGGGGTCTGCAAACATATTTACAATCCCCTACCCCATAGTTCAACAAAAGTTAAGCCTAGTGCCTGGCTTTTGGATAGTATCCCTGGGATAGTATATGATATTGAATGATTTTTTTAGTCATTGTCAAATTTGCTTCGATCCTATACTGTATAAAACTTCAGATAATGGCTACAAACACTGGGCTAATACATTCTCAGCCCAGTCAATATAGCAGTATTCCACTAGTCTGATCAGTTACTCCAAACATTGATAAACTTACGGTATTCCATTCTCCATTTTACGTCGCATGACTTTGAGTAGCGCCTCTAGTGTTAGCTATGAGAACTACAAGGGGCGTTCCATATATTCTGATAAAATGTTCTTATTTTGTTATTTAAGTTCTGAAGAAATGAGAAGGATATGTGAAAAAATCAAAAAATTAGAGCATTTTTATCAGAATATACGGATCGCCCCTTGTAAAAGACACTTTGCCAAGTGCGTTCTATTTTTAGCAACAAGGATTTGCCGCCATTGACAATGTGCTTGTGAAGTTGTGAACAAAATCTCAAAGCCGCGAAATGAAAATATGTAGTATGCAAATATTCCAAATTCACAGCCACCATATTTTCTGATTCATCGCGGCATTCTTAGCCCCGCGGTACAGCCTTAAGTTTCACCTGTTATTTGTCCTCAGAATAACAAAATGCGGTAACTTGAGCCCGGATTAACCCGCGTTGTGAGATATCTCCCAATGTTAAAACTCCATTTGATTTGATACTCCGCGGTAGTCCCCTTTCGCGTTCTGTATGAAACTAGACCAAATCTTTCTGAAACAATGAAAACATCAGTTGGCTCAAATCACATCATCCTCGTGAATTAGAATTTAAACTTAAATAATCTCTGGAATGCATGTGAAAAGTCAAAACAAAATTTTTCGCAATTGTTATTCCTTGGAAAAGTGATATACTCATTCAAACAAACACTTGTGCTTATAAATAATATATTTATAGAATATAGAATATATTCTGGGGTAATGCATGTAGGACATCTTTGTTGTTTTCAATAACTTTTGTATTGGATCAGAACTGGCTTGCAACAAAATTCCTACAAAAAATGATTAAGACATTGCATTAGGTAATTTATTTTGCCCAAAAAGAATTATGTTGAATTATTGATATTTTATCAGGAAATTGTCTTGATCTGTCCTTCCCAAACTGTGATTATGGGTATAGGAGCTGTAGGCTACTGCACTCAATAAGGAATTTCAAATATGATGTCATGTTATTCATGGGAGTAGATTTACAGCACTTCTTTCTTTCGAATGAAGTTTGGGGGATATAGAGAATGCCTTCATCCAGTACTAAACAAAAATTTCAAAAAGGCCTTAGTTAAGCTTTAATGTCCCATCTAAGAACCCCTATTCTAACTTTCGAAAATGGATTCTAGCAATATTATCCAACAGGAGTCTACTTGTTGTGATTCAATGAACTTGAGTTCTTTTAAGGGGCCTTCTAAGAAAATGAGGATTTCAGCAAGGTTGTATTGATTTTACATAATGACATACCTGATGGTATCCCCACGCTAAGTCAATGGCAGAAAATGTCACGCAAATACGCATTTTACCTGGTAATTGTCAGGCAAAAATATTTCTGTAGAAAATTTTCTAAAAAAGATCGTCTACACAGCAAAAATACGAACGACGGGAAAAAAACGTACGCATTTCGTTCGGACTTTTCACGCGAATTACGGATATGTCACGCATTCCGTTCGAAAATTTTCGTACCTACCCCCCCCCCCCCCCCCCCCCCCCCCCCCCCCCCGTTGTTGGATGTTTGAAACGCGAGCGTAGGGAGCGTGAAAAATTTGAGGTGTTCAAAATTTGGCAAGATGTAATAAAATTTAAACCAAGGTGTTCAAAATTTGGATCAAGGTGTTCAGACCAAAGTGTCCACATTTTGAGGGGAGGTGTTCAACATTTCCAAGTCACTCATGTTAGGTGTTCCCAAGTTGACAGGCCTGCAATGGTCAATGGTGAATGGTGAGTCAATGCACCCTTGCTAAAATTCCCAAGAACTCAAGTTGATAGAGTCTCAACAAGTAGATTCATATTGGGTAGTATTGCTAGAATCCATTTTCAATAATAAGAATAGGGGTTCTTAAACAGGATATTGGGCTTGCTTTTAGGGGAGGCATCAAAAGTTCGATGTCGGATAGAAAACTAAATAAATCTAGTTAGGGGGGGAGGGGGTTCAAACCCATTTCAGTTTGCTATCCGACAAATTTCAACATTTCAAATTTTTGGCAATTTCAACTCAGAATGCCTTGGAATGGTTTAAAAATAAAGATTTTACCTGATGCTTTCTTCGTCAAGATCATTCCAATGGATTTTATTCTATCAATAGTTGTTAAAAGCCGCAAATTACGATAGGAATTAACAAAAACTAGATCGTGTTTAGCAATAATTTTTCAAATTCTCAAACCGGAAGTAAGCGATCAACTTTCACGGTATTTAGTTTTGAGGGGGAGGGGGGGGGTCTGAGTTAAAACTAGATTTATTTAGTTTCCGATCCGACATCGAACTTTTGATGCCTCCCCTTAAGAACTTTTTGTTGGCTCTAATCTGGACATCTGTCGATTCAAATGTATTTTTGTATGAATGTGAATAGATTGATGAAAATTTTCTCAGGATTCTAACTCTGAAATTTTAACTTCCAGCTAGCCTTTTATGACCCTCTAAAGATAGTGTTGATGTTTAAAATAGGTTAAATCAATTAAAGAGTATCAAAATTATAAGTAAAGTAAAATGTAAAATTAAGTGTCAAGATCAAAATCTAGGTAAGTTCAAGGTTAAGAAAAGTCAGTAATCTGGAGTCTTAAGTTGTTCCACCATTCTAGGTATTTTACAAATATTTCTTCATCTAGGCTCAACCACTGAGAAAAGATTATCAAGGACATCATCCAGCTCCTCAATGACCTGCAGTCATAGCAATGTAAACAGCCCACTAGCAAGTCCCAAGACACTCTCTATGCCTAGGGTAGAATCTTGGGAAATGCCATTCACCTTTAAGTGTATTGGAACATTGAGGTGAGCATTTGAACTTCTTGCATTGCCAAAATTATTTTGGTAGTAATCGTAATACTGTACATGTATATCAATCACGTTAATTCTGCTCCTTGTATACCATATATGGATACTAAAATAGAAAGTTACATTTACTTGGAAATATAATGTTTCATGATCAGTCAACCATTAGTTACATGTAGTTACAAGTAGGTTGATAAAATGTCTACTGGATTTGTGGCAATTATACTATCATCTTCCATAGTCTGATCATTAAATTGCAAAGTTGATCTACAATCATGTGTAATTTTGTTTGTTGATTTCTCAAATATGATGACAATTTTACCAAATTTTGAATATTTGATTACTAAAATCAAGATCATTTCTACTTGCATCAGAGAATCCATTCAAAGTGCTTACCAATTTTGTAAAACTTATATTCTTAGATAACTCAAATACCTGTTGTCAGATTTGTTTCAGATTGTATGTGATTGTGTGTGCTAAAGAGGGAACTAAAAATGGCTCCTGAATTCAAAATACCCACCATTTTTAGAAGAAATGTAATTTCTGATTACTGAAATTCCATTTACCAGATTCAGTCCAAATTTATAGTAAAATCTTTATTCTAGAAAGAATTTCAAATATCGTGTCATGTCAAAATTGTAGGAGGCAAAATGTTCAAAATGATCATGGGATTTGTTAAAATATGTTTTGTAAGGTGGGATGAGCTACTCCAGGGAGTTGCTGTTAGTGCACATAATTGATTTACTACTGATCTCTGTTTACTTATCTTTCAGAGGTCACAAAAAGCCTGTGTGGGGCCTGGGAACAAGGAAACATATGCTGTATAGTGCTGGTGAGGATGGGGTTATTAAAGTATGGGACCTAAATGCCCTCACACAGGGCTGTGTGAAGAGTATTAGAGGACATTGTGATGCCGTAAGTTGTTGCGAGATATTTCTGCCTTTACGAGGGGTGATCCAAAAGACATGGACGCCCGCTCTAACGTTGCTATTTTCTAATATAATTACATGAATCTTTCAGATAATAAAGATCAACATCTTAACAACTTTGTGTATAAGTTTCAACAGAAAATAATATATTTTAGGTACTGTACTTTTCTAGATATTTTTTAATATCGGGTCCCTGCCACCCGGAACGATATTTAAATATAGCAAATCACGTCACAACTGTTAATATGGCAAATACTTTAGGTGCAGGTGCACAACCTAACACCAGTCATGATATGAGAGAATTTCCGATTTTTCAATCTTAGTGTCATCTGCCATCATCATCTTCACATATTAAAATCTACTTTTCAACATATTTTCCACAAATTTGAACACATTTTTCATACCGCTTTACCCATGAATGGAAGACATTTATGAAACCTCCATTGCTTATGTGATACAAATGCTCCTGGAGTGCCATTCTAAACCTTATTCAATGAATAAAAAATATTTTCTTTCAACCCTCCTTTCAACTTCAAAAAGGAAGAAAATCACATGGAGCCGTATCTAGACTGTATAGTGCATATGGTAGCTACTCAAAGTCAATAATAGTGAGAATAGCTTGTAGTATTCTTTGTTTCACTTTGATTTCGTTCATATTCTGTATTACAGCAGCCATCTTGGAGCAAAAATGAAACCAGAATAAGGGTTGCTTGTCTGATGTCATTTTCTTAGAATTTGACATATACAGCCATTGTCATATGTGACATTATGATTAAAACACAATTAATTGGTTGCCTCAAGGGAAAGATCAATACCCGGTGATTTCAGCGGGAAGTGGCGTTTCGTTCAGTGGATGAGCTGCGCGCACACGCATAAATGTGATTATCAATATTATTAGGGGAGGGATATTCAAGCTTATTTTCGTCATAGGCGCAACCCAGGGCTGTTGTCTTAAGGACATTTCGTTGAAAATTAGCCATTCGGCTGATAATTTGTAAGAGTTTGCGATCTTATAATGTATAACTGTTATTCAGACACATATTTTGACACGATTCTGTTGGAATTAAGCTTTGAACCGAGAGATATTCACGATTGATATGCACATTTTTGATTGTGCCATTGCTTTTCCATTGCACAATCCATGTATTGATAGAAGTAACAATAATGCAGATTGTTTTACCTTTAATACATGGCGGATTCACTACATATCGGTCTATTAAATACCATTTTGAGCCCTAAATAGTTTTATATTTCCATCACGGCCTGGGTGTGTTTGTCTCTTATGTGTATGCGTGTGAATTGGTGGGGCTGGTAGGGCCACCGATCCCCTGGCCCCGCCCATCCTTTATTCTACTTCCCACTTATTATAATTTATGCTGTAACATTTAGTGACTTCGTTGGAAAACAATAGGAATTATTTTTCTTGCCAATCAATCGTGGATCACAATCAATATTTCAGAAAGGATCAATCAGGCAATCGTCCAAAATCCAAATCAAGTTATAACATTATATGATATTCAGCAAGAAGTCCGGTAGAAATAAAGAATATTTAAACATGAAAGCTGAAAGTTAAAAGCTAATCTGTCAATTTTCTGTCTGCAAAAGAACGTTTACATTTGACCCAATAAAGGACCGAGGCAATCTAGGATTCCCCAGGAAAATATGACGTCATACTAATTAGCATAAGGATTTCCCTAGTGGTCTGGGTCGAGCATCGTCCGAAAACACAATCCGATAAATACATGCTAATTTCTAAGGAGATGGGAAGTGTATGACGTGTTTATCGATTTTGTTTAACGATTTAATCAATTATCAAATTGTTTAAGTGGATAAAGTGGTCACACTTGCTTCAATTCATAGCGTAATCGACGGATAGAAACTGCACTGAATTCCCGATATCCTACCCCGTATTATGTAGGCTATAACCACAGTGACCTGCAGATGGCGCTATCACAAACAAGTACTGCACGAACCGATAAATTCCCGGGTATTGTAACGCCCTTGGTTGCCTGGTAACAAAGGGAGTAAACTAACGTGGTTTAACATTCAAAATTCAAAGAAAGATAGTGGTCAAGACTTGCGAAACAAGTCAAATGGCGCCAACATTTAAGGCTGAAAGTTACCATGTATGAATACCGTTCCGGTTGGTCCCTATATTAAAAACTATCTAGAAAAATACATAAAATATATCATATCACGGTATCACCATGAAATTAATACACAAAGTAGTTAGGTTGTTGGTCTTTATTATTGGAAAGTTTAAAGTAATTTTATCAAAAACCAACAAAATTAGAGCAGGGCATCCAAGACTTTTGCATCGCTCATCGTATAACCTAAATATTAGTATTTTTTGAATGATTTTCTTAAATAAGTTTTCAATTTTGCTAAGATATTTTTACAACCAGCCTCCTGCCATCATAAGGTAAATGTTTACTTGCAAAATGACATGTAAAGTTTTTTTTCATATATACTCCTCAAAAAAAGTTAAGGACCAGTCTTTTTCCTCAGGTTTACATGTTAAACCCCATGTCTGTTTGAACTCTTATTTTCAAAACCTGAAACGAAAGAAAAACTGATAATGTAAATGTATATGTACCTTGACTCTATTCTCTATATTTCAGAAAATTTTCAATTCAATATCTCCGTCACAATATGTCAAAAAGTGATGTCAAATTTGAGGAAAATTAAAAAAATGGCAGAACCCATGTAATCCAATGGGAAATGGTTGAGTTGCCAAAAGTCATATGAGAAAATATGCATGAATTCAATTGCTCTCAAAAATGGTATGTAAATAGACAATTGAATTTGCTAACTTGTCTACAACAAAAAATTGATTTGTTTCTCCAGGTTTTACAAAGTTATGAGTCTCAAAAGTCAAAATAATTTCTCATGAAACCTCTCATTGAAATAACACAGGGGGTCAAAATGAGTTGATGCTCTATATCGATAATTCTTACAAAGTAAGCTTAACAAAAAGCATGCACAAAGTAAAGCAATTCAATTGTCTACTCAGAAATTATTTTTGATAAATGTTTTACCGAATACATATCCAAAAATCTGATTTGCCCCTAACCCACTATTTCCTATTGGTTAACATGGGTTCTGCAATTTTTTTAAATTCCTCAACTTTGATATTGTAACGTTTTTCCCAAGGGCGCGGCTCTGGTCAGGAATGCGGGGAAAATGCGGAGAAGGTGGACTCTCCCGCGTGTTACTTAATTGCGGGATTATACGGAGTGGCATTGACTCTGCTCGCTACAGTCGCCTGAGATGTTACTCCAAGGGAATGCAAGGGGAAAGAAAGTATTACGCAATCTGGGGTTTGCACTACACAAGTTCCCTCTGGAACTCACTACAATACAACAATGAACATTCAAGTACAAAATAAAAGTAAAGTTATATATTTGCTCTTTATGAGCCAAACAAATACAAACAATGCTTTAGTAACAATAGAAAATTATGTACAGAGTTAAACTCATTATACACTAAACTATACAATCGCTAATGCCTTAAGGTAGAAAAACATTTGATTTCACTTGAATGTCTCTAAAGTCACTACATATAGTAATCATAAACTCATATTAAGCAATCACTATAACACTAGATGTCTCTGTTGGTGCCTTCTTCAGCAATTGTGGGATGCCGCCCTTAGTATTCTGTTGTCTGTCCTGTAATAAAATGGCACTCCTGGCCACGGGACTCAACTGTCAACTAATTAAGTTTATTAATGTGCAACCTGGTGCAAGTATCCTTAAATTCCTTTATCTAAGTTGCAATCGGGTGCAACGGTCCTACTCAATGGGTGCAAAAGTCCTTATATTTCTTGATCATAGGTGCAATGTCTCTGTGTTCCCCTGTTCCTAACCAGGGTGCAACTCCTTTATATGCCCTTGTTCCTTAACCAAGGTGCATCTTGCCCCTGTTCCTTAACCAGGGTGCAAGTCCTTTATGTGTCCTTGTTTTCCTTTGCACCTATGTCCAGTTTGCAATTCCTTTATATGCCCTTGTTCCTTAACCAAGGTGCATCTTGCCCCTGTTCCTTAACCAGGGTGCAAGTCCTCTATATTCCATTATCCAAGTTGCAATCAGGTGCAATTGTCCTTAAATCCTTTATCAAAGTTGCAATCAGGTGCAAATGTCCTTTAGGGGTGCAACCTGGTGCAAGTATCCTTAAATCCTTAATCTGAGGTGCAACCTGGTGCAAATGTCCTTTGTGGGTGCAACCTGGTGCAAGTATCCTTAAATCCTTAATCCGAGGTGCAACCGGGTGCAAATGTCCTTTGTGGGTGCAACCTGGTGCAAGTATCCTTAAATCCTTAATCCGAGGTGCAACCGGGTGCAAATGTCCTTTAGGGGTGCAACGTGGTGCAAGTATCCTTAAATCCTTAACCCGAGGTGCAACCGGGTGCAAATGTCCTTTGTGGGTGCAACCTGGTGCAAGTATCCTTAAATCCTTAATCCGAGGTACAACCGGGTGCAAATGTCCTTTGTGGGTGCAACCTGGTGCAAGTATCCTTAAATCATTAATCCGAGGTGCAACCGGGTGCAAATGTCCTTTAGGGGTGCAACCTGGTGCAAGTATCCTTAAAATCCTTTATCCGAGGTGCAACCTGGTGCAAGTATCCTTAAATCATTAATCCGAGGTGCAACCGGGTGCAAATGTCCTTTGTGGGTGCAACCTGGTGCAAGTATCCTTAAATCCTTAATCTGAGGTGCAACCGGGTGCAAATGTCCTTCATGGGTACAACATGGTGCAAGTATCCTTAAAATCCTTTATCCAAGTTGCAACCAGGTGCAAATGTCCGCTATGGGTGCATCCTGGTGCAAGTATTCCTAGATTCCGTTATCCAAGTTGCAACCAGGTGCAAATATCCGTATATTCCTTTATTCGAGTTGCAATCAGGTGCAAACGTCCTTTATTGGTGCAACCGGGTGCAAATGTCTGCTATGGGTGCAACCTGGTGCAAATATCCTTGATCATTGGTGCAATGTCTCTGCCCCTGTTCCCTACCAGGGTGCAACTCCTCTATATGCCCTTGTTCCTTAACCAAGGTGCATCTTGCCCCTGTTCCTTAACCAGGGTACAAGTCCTTTATATGCCCTAATTATCCTTTGGACCTATGTCCAGGTTGCAATCATGGGTACAAATGCCCCTTGCACCAATATGGGGTTGCAAGTTGGGTGCAACTCTCCAAAATGTCCTGGGGTTGCAAGGTTGAGTGCAACTCTCCCAAAAGTCCTTCACACCTATTCCAGGTGGTTATAATGGGTGCAAATATTCCTTGCACCGATATGGGGTTGCAAAGTTGGTTGCAACTCTCCCAAATATCCTTCCATTGATTATTTTGGGTGCAAATATCCCTTGCACCAATATGGGGTTGCAAATTGTGTGCAACTCTCCCAAACGTCCTTCAATTGGTTATTATGGGTGCAAATGTTCCTTGCATGCACCGATATGGGGTTGCAAAGTTGGTTGCAACTCTCCCAAGTGTCCTTCAATTGAGTATTTTGGGTGCAAATATCCCTTGAACTGATATGGGGTTGCAAAGTTGGTTGCAACTCTCCCAAATGGTTATAATGGGTGCAAATATTCCTTGCGCTGATATGGGGTATGCAAAGTTAATTGCAACTCTCCCAAATGTCCTTCAATTGATTATTGTGGATGCAAATATCCGTTGCACCAATATGGGGTTGCAAAGTTGGTTGCAACTCTCCCAAATGGTTATAATGGGTGCAAATACTCCTTGCACCGATATGGGGTTGCAAAGTTAATTGCAACTCTCCCAAATGTCCTTCCGTTGATTATTGTGGGTGCAAATATCCCTTGCACCGATATGGGGTTGCAAAATTGGTTGCAACTCTTCCAAGTGTCCTTCCGTAGTTTATTTTGGGTGCAAATATCCCTTGCGCCAATATGGGGTTGCAAAGTTGGTTGCAACTCTCCCAAATGGTTATAATGGGTGCAAATACTCCTTGCACCGATATGGGGTTGCAAAATTGGTTGCAACTCTCCCAAATGTCCTTCCGTGGTTTATTTTGTGTGCAAATATCCGTTGCACCAATATGGGGTTGCAAAGTTAATTGCAACTCTCCCAAATAACAATGTTGGTAAAATTAATGAATAGAAATACACATACAATCTCGGCAAATACAGTAATAGATACAATCCGATTTGAATCTCTAAAACAATGCTCAAAATGTCCAGGCTAAAACAAATGGACAAACTGTGATGATATTTGATCGAAAATCCTTCGTCAATTACTCAACAAAATATTCCTACTTATCCTATGCCAAGTAGAGTTTTAGGGAGATAAGTTGGTAAGATATATCCCGTATTGAGGTTTCCATATCCTGAACCTCCATATCTCCCGCCATATCTCCCGCTCCAGCGCATATCTTCCCGCTTCGAAAAAAAAAATTAATTTTTTTTTAAAAATTGAAAAAAAAGAAAAAATGTGAAAAAAATTGAAAAAATTGAAAAAAATTAGAAAAATGTGAAAAAAATTGAAAAAATCGAAAGAAAATTAGAAAACTCTACTTGGTATAGGATACATATCCAAAACCTCTCAGTACATAACCCTTATTTACGTCTCCGAAGCTGTTTCAGTCTGTAATTCTTTGTCGCACAACAACTTGACAAACCGGTCAAATTCCTTTTATATGCCCCGCGTGGACGTTTTGGAATGCATAAATCTGATTGGTTAATACCGCCAAAAATTAGGTTAGTATGCCGGCGAGGTTCCCCAATGGGCGATAATATGAAATTTTGTAATTGCTGTATCTATGGCCCAACAATATGAATTAAGATCCCAAATATTACGTAAAATTAGAATCTATTTTCAGAACTACGATTAAATATTAAACATTGGATGTAATAACAGAAAGAATATACATGAAAGAATCATGAGAAATGTGATTAAATAAAGTACCAGATGCGGGCAATTTGAATTCACGAAAATGGAAACGTAGAATTAAAGTGCACTAAAATAGACAAACCAGACTCGCGATTGATCAAAACTGAAGTTATGTATAAACTCTAGATACTAATAAACCCTATTCTACTCACCTAAGGCAGAAATATTTGTTGGTAAGGTGTGATAACTAAATTTGTCAGAGCACTAATATACTGTACTGGAAAAATGTATTTAGGGCGTTTTATATCAAACCGGCTTTTGTGGAAAAAAAAATGCTAAAATTAATTTTTCATCACAATATCAATTTTTGACCTATTGTAATATTGAGATTAAATTGAAAATTTCCTGAAATATAGAGAATCGAGTCAAGGTACATGTACACATCCATTTACATTATCAGTTTTTCTTTCGTTTCAAAGAAAATAAAGTTTAAAGATACACAAGGTTTAACATGTAAACCAATGAGGAAAAATACTGGTCCTTAACTTTTTTTGAGGAGTATATTTTCTAAATATTCAGTGTTACCTAAGGTTAACCATATTTCAGATCCATTGTATTGCCATAGGGTATGATGCTTTATACAGTGGTGGAGCTGACAAGTCACTCAGAAAGTGGAGTCTAGAGACTTTGGAGGAGGTGGCCTGTCAAGAGGTACACTTTTAATGTTCTGCTGTTAAACATGGATCAGTTATATATGCAGTAAAACAGGGCCATATTCAAGTTTAACTGCATGGAGTAAAACTGGGCCTTATTCAAGTTTAACTGCATGAAGTAAAACAGGGCCTTATTCAAGTTTAACTGCATGGAGTAAAACAGGGCCTTATTCAAGTTTAACTGCATGAAGTAAAACAGGGCCTTATTCGAGTTTAACTGCATGAAGTAAACAGGGCCTTATTCAAGTTTAACTGCATGAAGTAAACAGGGCCTTATTCAAGTTTAACTGCATGGAGTAAAACAGGGCCTTATTCAAGTTTAACTGCATGAAGTAAAACAGGGCCTTATTCAAGTTAAACGGCATGAAGTAAAACAGGGCCTAATTCGAGTTTAACTGCATGAAGTAAACAGGGCCTTATTCAAGTTTAACTGCATGAAGTAAAATAGGGCCTTATTCAAGTTTAACTGCATGAAGTAAAACACGGCCTTATTCAAGTTTGATTGAATGAAGTAAAACAGGGCCTTACTGTACGCCCGGTATTATTCGCGTGCGATCTAGTTTCGCGCTTTTCGCGAGGGTGTTAAAATCGCGAAAAATTATTGTCGCGAAATTGCCAATTAAATCCCCGGGAATTTGTTTCTGATGCATCTCGTTGAAAATGAAAGAGCACGTGCGCACGATTGTTCACGTGATCGTAGCCTGCAATTTGATTGGACATCATATACTGCGGAATCCCCGAATACGATAAAATACAGTACGAAGTACGGTAAAGTTATTATGGGAGCCACGCACTTTTGCTTTAATATTAAAAATGACGATGCAATAGAGGTTGATATTCAGCTTGCCGATGATAAAGATCCCAGTTATTGTAAATCTCATCCAAATATGACATCAGGTAAGTGCAATTACTGTACATCTAACTTAATTTACACACGAGTAGTTCGAGAATTCCTGGAATACAGTGTAATGAATTTCAAACTTGTGAAATTCGCAAAATTTAATAGCCGCGAAATCGTGTTTTCGCAAAATTCGCGAAATTAAATCTCGTGAATAGTACCGGGCGTACAGTATTCAAGTTTAACTGCATGAAGTAAAACAGCTTTATTCAAATTTCACTCCATGAAGTAAAAATGGCTATATTCAAGTTTTGCTCCATGAAGTTAAGGATTTAAGTTTTACTCCATAATGTTAAAATTCAGTAATTTTAGTTTTTCCTTCAACTTAAAGGTCGGTACAGTATTCATGTTGTACTATTTAAGTTTTCCTCAGTGAACTTAATAAATTCCAACTTTAGAATTGCTTATTAAGTACAACACTTTTTATTGTTTTTTTTAGGAAGCCCACGACAACATCATATGTGCAATTCTGACTACTAGTGAGTTCACTTTCACTGCATCATTCTCAGTCATCAAAGTCTGGGGCTCCAGTGATTTATCACCTGTCAAGTCAATATTAGGCCTTCATCATTGGGTGAGGGGCCTCGCTTTGAACTATGGTAGGGTAAGTTTGTTTCACAATTTAGGTCAATATTGCGTGGATATATACAATGGATCCATAGAATACTTTTAAAGACCAGTCAGTATTTTTACAATTAAATGCTGATTCTAAATATCTAACTAATAGCCAAATCATTAATTGTACATTACAATGTCTCTTTTACTTTAGTTCAGTTTACTTTTACTCCATACCTATCAGTTTTGCATGTTGAACCTTTTAAGAAAATAGTTCGCAAAAGCTATCATGAATGTCGGCGGAGATAATGGGCAGCCCTAATGAATGCTACAGTTAATTAACATCTCCAATTATCCATCCATTATTTGAAAAGTGATTATTGCTATTTCTAGCTCACATGGTGAGCTATTGCAATAACTCACTTCAGTGTGGAAGCTTAACAGTCGCACCTCGCCAGAGGCGGAAATGAAAAGTGCTGGGCGATAATTTGTGATTTTTACTTGCCTTGCTTGCGATTATGGATTTAGAACGCTTTCAGGCGAGAATCCCGGGGACATACCCACGACATTACTGTGGAGAGGCAGTTATCTATGCAAACTGGTGGCTATATTTCACTAAAGTCCTATAATTCGGACGTAAATTCGCCTATTTCCGTTTCAAAGTTCTTTGCAATGTTCATGGCGATTGTGGGATAGCTTTATTCCTTCGCTATGGATGATAGATGGAAATCGTTCGGATTTCTTCCCACAAAGCGAGCCAATGGTAATTTATGAACTATAAATTGTTGTTATTTATGAAGTATATACTTGTATGTATTTATTTCGGTACTTGATTGTAGCTCTAACCCTAAATTTGGCGCGATGTTGGCGGATTTTGATCGATGATTCATGATTATGAAAATTGAATTTCAAAAAAGTTCTAATTTCCTCCTTTTGTGACCGAAATCAAGCTATTAATTGAAATCAAAATATTGCCTTACATTCATTACATCCATTGGTTCACATGTTTGCGCAAGCCAATTGTTTTCAATAAATTATTTGATAATGAAAAATGCATATCGGCATATTACTACCCCGGATTACTACACGTTCATGAATGAAATAGTTCTACTATGCTCAATGCTATATTGTGTACAAACTTTATACACATGGGCTCAAGTGTTATGAATTTCATAATTAATTAATTTACTCTAATTGACAAATTATTTCGACATACATACTAGTAGTTAATTTCATAATGCTTATTTTGCAGCTGAGGTTCCATCTTGTTCTAGTAATAAAGGCAAAGGCTACAAGAGCACTAATGGTTCTGCCACTGGTAAAGCCTGGCCAAAAAAAAAAAATCCCCCCTCCTCAACTACAAATGAACCAACATTTGCAAGTGCAACCCCCAGCCCTCAATCCACACCCACAGTACCATCCAAAAGGGGAAAATTAGCCCCCCAGAATCGTGTTTTTTTAAAACACTGGAAAGTAGGAAGACCATGGCTTGAATATGATACAACCAATGAGCATATGGTCTGCTCTTATTGTAAATCTCACAAAACTAAAATCAAACATAAAATGAAGAAAACAACATTTATTGATGGGTGTACTTCAATGAAAATGCAATAGTTAGTTATAGTCAGTTTAATTTCATTATAATACTATGTATGCGCAACGGCGAGTTATTAGGCTACAATGACAATTATAACAAGTATAACAACATTTGCACTTGCCAAATGTTGGCAACTTAAAAAATGGCAAGGCAAGTATAAACCCAATACCAATTGCCTATCAGGCAAGTATAACCCAAAACTCAGCTTCCACACTGCACTTGTCTGTTTGTCTGTCCATCTGTCTGTCCATCTGTCCGCCTGTCAACAATTGGCCAGTTTTAAAACCTCTGTCAATAGGATTCCCGTTTTAAGTTATTTTTGTTCAACATCAATATAGAAAACCCCCCTATGACTCCTGGTTCAAAAGCTTGCCTATTTTCAAAATGGCAGCCATTTTTGTCTCGCTAAGTTCACTTTTAGACCATTTGCTTTAAAACCTGTGTCGATAGGATTCCCGTTTTAAGTTACTTTTGTTCAACATCAATACAGAAAACTTCCTTTTGACTCCTGGTTCAAAAGCTCACCTATTTTCAAAATGGTCGCCATTTTTGTCTCGAGAAATTCACTTTTGCCCCATTTCCTAGCTTTTCAAATAATTTCAGGTGCCCTGCATTGTAAAAAGCCATGTCACTGTAAAGAGAAGTTGTATGAAATAATTTTGTTATAAAAAATCGGCCAAAAATTTTATCCATTTTTTTATTTTCAGCCATTTTAGTTAACATTGATCCATCTATCTCGCAAAATCCACTTTTGGACCATTTGCCTTAAAACTTGTCAAAAGGATTCCCGTTTTAAGTTATTTTTGTTCAACATCAATGTGGAAAACTCTTCTATGACTCCTGTTTCAAAAGCTCGCCTATTTTCAAAATGGTCGCCATTTTTGTCTCGCAGAATTCACTTTTGGCCCATTTTCGATCTAGCTTTACAAATTATTTCAGGTGTCCTGCATTGTAAAATCCATGTCACCGTAAAGAGTAGTTTTATGAAATAATTTTGTTACATAAAATCGGCAAAAAGTTATTTCCAATATGATAGCAAAATATGATACCCGTTTATTTTTATTTTTAGCCGTTTTATTTAACATTGATTTGTCCATCTGTCTCGCGAAATCCTCTTTTGGACCATTTGCCTTAAAACCTCTGTCGATAGGATTCCAGTTTCAAGTTATTATCCCATCGAACGAAGTTGGAGGGATATAGGGAACGCCTCCGTCCGTCCGTCCGTCCGTCCGTCCGTCCGTCCGTACGTACGTACGTACGTACGTCCGTACGTACGTACGTCCGTCCGTCCGGGCAATAACTCAAATACCGTTGGCCCGATTTTGTTCATATTTTGTACACATATACCCTATGGGGCTAGAAGTTCTGCTCGAAAGCCGATTTTCAAAATGGCCGCTCATTTCAAAATGGCGGCCATTTTAGTGCCGATTTTACAGTAATTTAGGTGCAATATGTAAAACTGTAATAGCAATATGTTTTAAATGTAAAAAAATTATAAAGGACATTAATAAAGCTACAAATGTAGATATTAAAGAAGCACATGGCAGCCATCTTGAAAAATGGCGGCCTTTACTCGTTATTTACGATTTTTGCTGTAACTCGAAAAGCAGTGGAGCGATTTTGTTCATATTTGGTATGTGAATACTATAAGCATTGGACACTGTCTAAAGACATTTTTGGTAGAAGGCGGCCATTTTGAAAAATGGCCGCCATTTTAACGTATTTTACTATAACTCGAAAAGTAGTGGAGCGATTTTGTTCATATTTGGTATGTGAATGCTATAAGCATGGCACACTGTCCTATGACACTTTTGGTAGAAAGCATATTATTTCTTCTGATGACAACTTGGCAAATGAGCAACCATTTTGAAAATGGTGGCCTTTCTGGTGTGTTGTTTTATGATATTTGCTATATATTTCGTTTGTAAAAATGTCAGCCATTTCTGTTCGATGGGATTCGCTACGCTTTGGCGTTGCCGTTGTTCTGGTTTTTGTTCAACATCAATACAAAAAACTCCCCTATGACTCCTGGCTCAAAAGCTTGCCTATTTTCAAAATGGTTGCCATTTTTGTCTCGCCAAATTCAATTTTGGCCCACTTCCTAGCTTTACAAATAATTTCAGGTGTCCTGCATTGCAAAAAGCCATGTCACTGTAAAGAGTAGTTGTATGAAATAATTTTGTTACAAATAATTGGCAAAAAATTATATCCGTTTTTTCAGCCATTTTACTTAACATCAATTTTTTGACATTTTTTTTTCATTGACTCATACAATTTTAAAATGGCCAGAAAGCACCAAATAGCATCTCAAAATTGTAAAATTTTCTGAGGGGGGGGGGGCGGTGGGCCACCCCTAGGCCTTCACCCCCCCCCCCCCCCACAAAACAATGGAAAAGTTCTGAATTTATTTTATGTATAGTCTCAGACACAGGATCTTGTAGCACCTTATATGGTATTGTTTATGATGACTGATATGGGGCTTTATATAGATAGAGAAGGATTATAACGCCGACAAATTTCGAAAACTGGAAGTAAAAAAAATATATGAATTATTGGTCAGAATTTTATAATTAGGGTCTCATTTTGAAAAAAAATCTTTCTTCTGTAAGATAAATGTCACTGCCTAACGTATTTAGATAAATTTAAATAAAAAAGTTTCTTTACTTTCTGATACCCATGCTAGAGACCGTTAGGTGCTGTACAACCAAAACTCACCTTTATAGCGATTTCTCCCCAAATCTTTCGCCAATTAACTTGTCCTTTACTCGTAGAATCATTGACCCACTAGAGATTTGTAGGGATGCTGCGCTTATGCTGTTCAGCCTGTAAAAATATGTTATTTTGCCGTTTTAAAAATGAAATGTGATTTCGTAGATATTTTGTCAATTCTAGCGGCCATCTTTGTGAATAATTATGACGTAAATTTTGAACCAATCAAATTGCAGAACCCCGGAGAAGAGCGAAATTCATAATATCTATTTATGATTTAAAATATATTTGGGCAGTAAAACATTAAAAAAAACAAAAGATAAATATATATTTTTGTTTATAACTATTTACATAATTTTTAATAGCCCCTTTCTATATAGAATTATGAAAGGTCAGACGGGTCAAGTTTACTACATCATTATTTCAAGATGGCGGCAGAGAATCGTATCAAACAGTCGTATTTTTAAAATTAGTATGCTTTTACACATTTTTGAACAATAATAGTACAATTGGAACAGCGTATACCATTGCGTATGTGTGTATTACAACTGGATCAAACCAGAGATCAATCAACGAAACATTGAGGGAGAAATCGATCGATAAGGTAAACTATGAAAAATATGTCTGTACAGGACTTCATGGTCTGATGCTAAGGTAACAGATAAGACGAAAAAATCATATTTGCAGCGTGTCTACAAGTAATATAATGACATGTATGTTGCCGCTAAATAATTTTTCTTAAA